CAGCTTTGTGATATCCATCTGTTTTTGAACAAAATTACTTTGCGAAAAATAATACTAAGGAAATCCTTCGCAAAACATTTCCAGATTTTAAGTTTCGAAAATTAAAGTTAGATATATACATTGTAGAGAGGTAGTCAATTAACGTCAGCGTTTGCATTTGTCAAATTATCAGCACAGTTTGATATCTATTCATTATTTATAATTTGATGCAATCTGATTTTACCGTGTGGATTTACTGCATTTTCAATCAGCACGTATTTGTGGGAACAAGATTTTACGAACGCAGGAGGACAACAAATTAATGTGATGACTACATTTAAATTGTCTCTATATAAGTGAGAATTGAGAAAGTTAACATATTTTGTAGACATGATACGGCTTGCAAATTTTTGTAAATTAATGGCATGCTGTAAAACTGTCTTTTTATAATAAATAGAAGTATGAGAAATGGCATGCGAATGTATTATCTGATACTGTACAATAATTCGGTCAAATCATTATCTATACAGGCTATTTAACAATCAATGGCTATTACAGTTCAGATATACTATAGTTTGGAAATTCGTTTTTAAATTATCTCATCGAGGCAGAGAGTGAGTTCTGTTTAGCATTCTCTTAAGCATGCTATTTACGAAAATCATAAGCTATAAGATATTGTTCCAGAATTTATTGATAAAAAATAGTTTCGAGTGTGCTTACAAACAAAAACAAATTACTTCAATGTGATACTAGAAAAATTGAAGCTCACAGTCAACTGTGAAGACTGAAGTACAAACTTTTGAGAAAATATACGGAATGAACTCACAATAATGTATTCATAAGTTCAAAGTTAACGCACAATTTGGTATGTCACGTTTTACAATCCACTGATAGCATATTCATCTGAGATGGTAAGTAGGGTCGGAATTTCACAGCGTCTCATTTCCGATCTCATAGGCATACTCCTTGATAACTTTTTCTTCTAACTTTTTCCGTATTTTGTCTCACCTGTTTTCCTTTGTTATGTCTGCACTAATGAGGCCTATCTGCTCGTACATTTGTAAATATATATGCTGTGAGAATTTTCTGTATTATTTCAGCACACCATTTCATTTTTCTGCCAGCCAGCAGATTGATGACGAGTAATAATATCTTTGCAAATAGTAATCCATTGGAAGATGGTGAAATTGAAGATGATCAAGACGAATTTCACAAGTACTTTTCAATATACTCTAGTTGTAAATGGTTAATGAATAGTAGTTGCAGTGTTTTTGTAGATTTCCAAAATGATTACTGAATTTATTTATATTGACACCAAGAATTATTCTTTCATATCACGTCTTCATGTAGACAAATTTTGTTGGTGTTTAATTTTCTAATTCCTTGTTATTCCTTTGCTTTGACTTCGATAGTCTGTGTTTCTAGTAAAAAGTAAGTTTTCGTCTTGTCTTAAATTTCAACATCGATTATTGCAATAATATTGAGCATATTAGTTTTTGTTCTGTGGATGACAGTTACAGAGATGCATCATTGTGGGAATTTTTCGAGAATTTGAAATTACCTGCTAGTCATCAGGATGAACGAAAGCATGGAAAGGATCGTGTTATTCATGAAGTTCAGGTTTTGAAATTAATCCTTTTCTTTTATTAACTATTTGTTTTAGCTACATTGAAATCATGCAGTCGTGGTTAAAGTCATGATATACCATTTTTTTGAAAGTTTGGGTCTTCATGATCGATTTGTTATAAAAACTTATATTAGCTTTCAGAACACGCTTACTGAACCCGCCAAACTACCATCTAGCTCATATGTGGTAGAAAATTTGGAAGAAAATAATAAAAACGCGCATTTATCTTTTTTTGACATAAACAAAAGCAGTACTATGCCACAATCGATAAATTACGAACCTGAAGAAGGAGAAATTGATGATAATATTGATTTCAGTCAGTATTGTTCTAGTTATGCAGTCATTTCAGTTCGGAGGTCGTTCAGAAAAAAATTACAATTAATCATCATTTGATTATGTTGTTAGTAGAGCCTGCGCTTTCATTGCTTTTCATTCTTTATGTTGAATTCTCTCTTCCAATCCATGCGCCATTAATCGTTCACATTGGAAGTAGATGAGCTTCAAACAAATGGTAGCTTATAATACAGTTCTAATCTACCGCAAAATTTGTTATTCAGAAATTGAATAGTTCTTTCTTTCTAAAAATCCTTGACGGTTTCTATACTGTTATTCTCTCACATTAACGTTACTAAAGTATTACGTCGTAGTTACAGTATGTCTTAATCTTGGTCTTTCAATTTAATAAAAGTTTTTGTTACGTGCAAAGTTTTTTTATCTCAACTTTTTTTCATCGTCTTTGCAGTTAGTACTACCCACGTAGTGCCAAAAAATAACGATACTTGTGAACAGTTTTCATTGCAACAGAGCTGGACACCATTCAAACAAAGTAAGTCTTTCCAGTATCTTTTTAAATTCATCTCAAAAGCTTTATGTTTCATTTACCTCTGTACTATTTTGGTTTATAGAAATATTTTTTTAAAACCTTCCACGCTAGTCTTTCATTAAATATGCTAGCTAGATGGACCTGAACTGGATTAAAGACAGGCAAATGTTACTGAAAGTCGTTTGAAAAATAATTTGAAAGCGTATTCATTGGATTATTATTTTTTGGTACATCGTGATTTATTGATTACGGCAAATAAGTTTAAGTCCTTGTTCATTATAAAATTGACTTCGTGGTTTCTTTAAATTTATTCAGATCCATTTCCAGACGATAAAAGTACGAGGAACAATGTTGTGCAGAGTGGAAAAAATAATCACATACTTCATCAACTTCCTACACCATTGAAAATAACAGTACCTAGTGACAACCGCAATGATCGCTCTCATTGGATGATAGATAATCAGCAAAAAGTCATAGCACCTGCCGATGATTCTCATGCGATCAGTTCGACTGGAAAAAGACCTTCGTATACGTATGTTTTACTGTTTTTAGCCCTGTTATTGAATATCCAAGTTGTGATATTTTTGAAAATATGATGGAGTGCCTTGCGTCAGTATACCAGTGCGCTTAAAGTTATTATGATTAACATTGAAATCATCTGTATTTCATAATACTTGTTATTTTTTTGCATGTTCGCTTACATGTCTTTAAATTAGTTTAGAAGAAGCAAGTTTTATGCTTTCTTTCTTATTTAATAATTTGGGAATAATATCATTTTCATCCTGGTAGGGACAGTTTGCCCCTAGCGATGACAATTATTATTTATTTTTTTATAATGTAGAAAATACGAATTTTTTGAAACTTATAACTACCTAGATTTATTCAACTTCAAAATTTAAAATTCATAAATGTGGTCAATTAGTACCTTGTTAATGTCTAAAGAGGCTATCTTTTGAATGTCTATCACTTTTATGCATTTAACAAAACCAAATGGGAAATTTTTTCATTCTCTATTTACGTCCCAAAAATTTGCATAATATTCCTAATAATTTTATAATACATTAAATTCATCTTCGGCACAATTTATTCAGATTTGAAGAGCAGCTGCATCGACTCCGGTTGCGGGTCGAAGAAAGAAAATTTTCGAGAAAAGCTGAAAGTGTGGTTGATAATTACGATCAAGTTACAATGGATGTTACAGAGAGTGGTCGAGGTTGACTCATTTTTTTACTTTTTATAATTCTCAAATTTTTGAGTGTTTCACATCATTTTACTTCAGTAGTCAGCTCGAAAGCCAAGGTTGAAGAAATGTCAAACTGCCAGAAAATAAAGCAGTAATTTTCATGAGTTTTGCAAGCATTTCCCATGTTAAAAAATTTTTTCCTTTCTTCATTTTTAACTAAATGTTATTCATAACTTCAAGACTTGTTCTTTATTGACATGTGGTGTTAGTAAATTCTAATCTCGCTGTAGAGTACTATCAAAATATAATTTGCTTGTTCAACGAGCATATAAATTTAGGTTCACGCAGCCAATCCTCGCCAACAACTTTGCCTATCATAAACACCAGTAAAGTGCAAATTTGTACTGAAGTGCTATCATCTGATAATGAGGAGGATGTCGATCAGTTGCGCGCCGCTTTATTGAAGCAGGTGGGCATGAGAATCGTTTTATGCATTGCTATTTGCCTTTAAAATTATATCCATACATCGATTTATAACTTTAAGTGACCAAAACTTCTATTCCTAATGTACGGTAGTGTAACCGTGGTTTGTTTGTTTTAAAATATGATAACATTAGCCATTATTTTGGTTTTATTTTTCTGTTAAATCCTTTATTATGTAAAGAAATCATTTTCACTGGTAGATTATGCAACGAAAAAGTGGCCTGAAATTGTCGCCACTAAAATCATCTCCTGAAGATGGGGAATTGAGTACAGAAAAATCAGAAGTTATTGATGGTACAATGGAACGAGCAAGTTCTGGTTACCAGTATGTTATTATCTATTTTGTGAATTTATTTGTTTTGCATCTTTCTGGGAGTAATTAAATTTTGAAAACTGTTATTTGTGAAGCCTTCACCGATAAAATATAACTCTGTGAACAGATCGTTGCTTTAAGGATTGGTAGACGTAGTTCCAAAAAATTAATACCTAGTACTGGACAAAGTCGGAAATCGTTAAAAATTCGTAAGGTTTGTTTCTTTTATTCACTTGTGGATTTTTTGAAGTTATACTTGTAATGAATATGTTTTGTATTATGCCATGAACACACAAATAAAAGAAGATTTTCAGCTTGGCTTCCTATTCTAATTGTAAAGCTGTTTTACTCTTTTACAAGAAAATTTTCAGTCTCATAGAAAGAATAATCGTTGTTCGAGTGACTCTGATGAGGTATGTTCTGCAAATCATCGATCTAGTTTAACGAAAAGGAAGAAGGATAGTTTGAGGGATGGTAATTGTAAAAGGTAGGTGTTGTTAATGATTATACATGTTTTTTGATTTCTCGTTCATTTTCTGAAGTTTTTGATTAAAAGGAATTTGATAAAACTGTGGGAAACCAAGCATTATTGTTTTTTTCTTGTTTGACTATAAAACTGATGCATCGATTATTTTTCATACTTGTGTATTTCAGATTACGATATCAGTCAAGGGAAGAATTAGGAGATGAGTCACAGTCAGTGAGCAGAAGAGCAAAAGATTGGGAGCAAATGGTGAATCACGAGAAGAAATTCTTGGAGGAAATAGAAATGAAGTTGAAGCGTTGTAATGACCAAAAAAGTATCATGAAAAAAATGCGTAACGACTTACTAGTAATTTTTTAGTTATTAAAAATTAATTTTCAGTCAAAAATTAAATTAAAAACACTGCCTCAAGATATTTAGAATTTTTCTTGTTTAATGTGATTAGCGACAGGAATTATTTATTGTTTCATTTAAAGAGAACAGTTCGTAATTTAGGCTTTAACTGAATTACTTTGAATTTTTTGAGTTAAGAGCATAGAGTTTGTTCTTCACCACGCTCTATTGTAAATTTTTAGATACTATTAACTGATAAATATAATTTTTGTTGTCGGACAGCTATTAAGAATTCACCGTGTAGGAGAGTGCAGTGATTATGACTGTAAGCACTTCTAATTAGCTTATGACGAAATATGTACTGGTTGTACTCGGCACTTAACAAAAACCGACTAATATTAAGCTTTTAAAAATTTAAATTAGAATTACCTTCATATTAATTCTGCTAATATTCTTTTTTAAAAAATCATAAGAACAGTAGCAATATAATGAACGATTTAAAAAAGGGGAAACATACGCTTGTTCAAAATACTATTTTATTCCTCTGTCCTTTTAGAGTTAGATAGATGTATTCAGTATTTCATTGTTTTCATATATTATAATGCACGGTCATATTGTTTAGGATGTTTGATGTGTAGCTTATGTTTTATCTCTACTATTCAGGAAAAAGCAAGCTGTTACGCCCGTAAACTTGGTATTGTGGAGGCAGAAATACAGGTTCTGCGATGCAGTCAAGAAAAAGTGAAGGGTCGACTGTTTTATTCGCAAAAAAAGTTGGAGAAAACATTGTTTGGCGCAGGTTATAAGGAACGTAGGAAAGAATTCGAGAGAGAACCAAATAAAAGATTGGTTCGAACAGTGGAGGGAATGGAATCCATAAGCGAAGACGAAATAATTGAGGAGCCCCATAGTGTTATACAAAACACTGAGTCTGTAAAGGGTACTCGGATATCGACTCAAAGTCCTGGGCATTCAGGTTCGTTAACAACCATTATGACAACAGACTCATCTCATGATCAAGAAGATTATGTTTCGGGACCTACAAGTAGCGATGAAGCACGCCTTTCAGAAACCGATGTTTCCCAGTTTGCTTTCCTACCTAATTTTTTAAGTTTTTAACAAACATCATTTCAATTTTTAATGTGTCTTTACTATTATTTTTCAACAGGGTTTTCTTCTTTGACAGTTATCTTTCATACGTAGTATAAATTTGTACACTACATCAGTTAAAGCATTTGTTAGGAGCAGTTTGGCTGAGCAACACAGATCTTATTATTAGTTTTGTAGAAATCTTGTCATCTTGCTCTGATATTATATATTTTAACTGGGAAGTATCAAATCCTAATTTTTTGCAATATATCTGCTATTTACTTGCCGTAAGCTGTAGAGAATGTAGAAATCTAAATTATTTTAAGGGAAACGGATGTCATAGAGTTGTCAGATTCGAGTAAGTCGATGAGTGGTGTTGTTACAGCACTACGTGAGTTGGTGTGGGAGCAGTTGTCATCACAGTTTGTCGTAGAGAATGTGAATGTTGATCACTCTAATGGTCGTGAGCAGAATATTGCAGAAACAAAAAATAATATGAAACTTAGCGAGAAGGACAGAAAAGAACTTTTAGATAATCCATTGTTCATGTTCAAAGGATATCGGTATGCACCTTAATATAAGCATGAATTTAAAGTTGCTTTATATTTTGTCTTCCTGTTGAATCAGTTTTTGCTTCTTGGCCAGTTCATTTGCTAGTGATTTGTAAGTATTGTTTTCTGTCTACTGTCTAATAGCGATTGCGTGATATCAGTCACACAAATTGTTATTTGAACTCGATGAGTTTCTTTCTCACAGTGGATAATAGAACTGCATATAAGATCTATAATGATAGTTCCAGTAAAATATGGCTTTTATTTTGCTTTGTAGAATTAATTCGTGGTTTGCATAAAGTATTTAAATACGTTCGCAAATTTTTCTAAACACATTAGTGCTGCAATGTTCGTGTAGCTAATTAAAAAATTTCAGTATTTGCTCTTCATTTCCTTATCATCTAATAGCTCATCGAGCTCTGTCAAACAAGTTGGATCCGTTTAAACCGCTTTGCTTTTATGAATTGTCAGGAAAGTGTGCAGATACTGCCTGTTCATTGTAGGTATTTTGGTCGTGGTAGATAAAGTTGAAATAACACTATTGAATGAATGTGTAGTGTGTCTTTTAATTTTTATAGGCAACACGAGAAAAATTACTTAATGTCTGATGAAGAATTGATATGTAGCATTTTGGCCCATTATCCAAATCTTTGCCCACCGGAAATGATGTTCGGTAAGCTATTTCTGTTGTCGTGGTTCTCGTTGCCTTTATATTTTCTGAATTCAAACAAGAGACATGATTTTGTATATATATATATATTTAACTGCATTTGTTTCAATTATCTTTTTGTAGTCGAATATGCTCGTCATTTACTAAAAGAACAACAGTCTACATCTGTTGGTGCAATTATTAAGAACATGTTGCAAAGCATTCCGGAGACAGAACGTGAGATTAGAGTATGTAGATTGACGACCACTTCGCTTGAATTTCACTCTGAAGCATGTCAAGGTAGCTTTTTGCCTAGATTTTTTCGAAATATTGTATTTTATCATGAGCAAATTCGATAATGCAAGTCTGATGTATAAAAATGTCCGAAATTTTTAATTTCACTTCTTTGAATCGTGAACTTGTGCTTTTTCAATGGGGAAGCAAAGATGTCATACCCATTTTTAGTGGTCCTGATTGTGCTCTGTTGTTATTGAATCGTTACACTAGTATGTAAATGACACACTTGACATATGCGTTAATTCTCGTTTAACCTTGCTGTATTCCAAATGTATTCCTGCATTAAAAGTGTTTATACATATGGAAATTAGCAAGCTGCATAATTTAGTATGTTTTCCACTAAAATAAAAATTTTTGGTTCATATCAACAAATGTTTAATATAGTTCAACAGCTACGAATTAACGGATATTTTTGTTGAAAACTAATGTTTTTCAGATAAACCCACTGAGTATGACGTACCTCAATTATCCCTTGGTTATATGTGGTAGACGATGAACATGGTCTTTTGTCTGACATAAATGATTTATTTTGGTATCGTTATTGAAGAAAATGAGTTTGTATGTGTATTAGTCATTCTGAACTTTTTTGAATTTTGTAATTGTGATACCTATTTATTGCTAGGATTCCCGATAACTTCGGTAATTTACAACAGTCAAATAGTCTGTGTTATTCAGAATGTTACTTTATTTCATTAAATAACATTTTGAACAACACAAATAATTCTCTGCAATAGCACTCATACTCAAAACATTATGTCAAAAAAAATGCAAAAAAAGCAATGTTTAGCATTGCATTTTACAAATGCTGATCATTTACTTGATGGTAAAACGATAAAGTATTTGTTGTGTATATTGTATCGTGTCCACTTTTGTTTGGTGCCAATGATATACATCTCCATAATACAAGTTAAAATTATGATAATTTAAAGTTGTGAGACCGATTGATATGTGTTGAGCATACGTAATCGATGCCATAGTGGTCTTTTCATTTATATATCTCATAACAATAGCTTGCTTAATTCCTCATTTTTAGTAACTGAGTGAAGTTTCACTTACTGCTGCGGGCGTCTCTTTTTATTACTGAGTTCTGAGCATATGTGGAAGGCCTTTTTTTCTGAGATTTCTTAGGTAAAGGGTTGATCAGTCGTAGAGTTCATTGTAAAGGATTAGATTGCTAAGGAGAAGAAGTTAGTCAGTAGTTAACAAGTCCAATTTAAAAATGAAATTGGGTGGATAGGCTGTTTGGTGCTGAATGTGTGTTATGTGCATACTTTGCGCATTCAGGAACCGACTTTGCAATGCTGTTTCATTGTGACTACTGGATGCTTTTCATTTCGTTTTTATTGCAAGTGTTAACGGTTGCCCAATCTGGAAAAATATTAGTTTTGGTGGATAATTTGAATGTGAGAGAAACACATTCCATATTTTTAAAATCTCTTACAGGTTAGGAGACATGTTTTTTTAGATTTATTGCTAGTAAATATGGCACTCGTTGTTTGATAGAAATATGTCAGTATTAGTTCAAACTTTTTTCTTAAGTAAAAATTGGAGAATTTTCGTTCTGTTAGAAAAAACTGTTTCCAGGAGTTTTCTTTAAAAATGATTGAATATACCTAGTATTTACCCAACAGCATTTAATGCAGTTATCTAGTCATTATTTGATACTTTTGCGGGGAGCATAACTTTAGAATTACATTTTATAAAAGTTCTAGAATATTCTATTTTTATTTTTATTGTTTTTCAGAGAGAGGTCATGAACTGGTCATAAAGACAGCGGATGACCAAACCTTATCACTTACAAAATATGGTGTACGTCTATATGATCATCTCATCATATTTGCACCAGGAGTTGACGGTAGATTCCCTTATTAACTTGTCTTATAAATGTAGCATTTTCTGAAGTCGCTTTTAGAAGTAATTTACTGAGTGATATGAAATTACACTTCTGTGATAATCCAACACTTCATAATGAAAGGCTTACAAAGTCTAACTGGTATGCATTACATCTTTTTTTGGATAATAGGATAATCATAAAGATGTGTGGCAGTTCTTAATTGAATTTATCTTCGTATAGAAAATGATTTATAAAATGTTTTTTATTTCTCCAGTTTTTTGAAATTTTAATTCATCACAGATAAAGCAGTCTTCTTTCAAAGCAGAAATACAAAAATTCGATCCCAAAAAACTAAATTTGTCTAAACTATCAATTTTCAGTAGCTCGTATCAACATGTTGCTTATTAACATTGCGAAAATTAATTTTTACTGTTTGCTCATTGCAGAATTTGGAGGTACAGTTACTGTTAAGGCGATTACATCATTTATTGATGATGGTGGGAACGTATTAATAACAGCAGGAACGCGTATTGGTGATGCCTTACGTGATCTCGCCGCTGAAAATGGTTTTGAGTTCGATGAAGATCGAACTGCAGTTATCGATCATTTGAATTATGACAGCGTCCTTGTAAGTATTCAATTTTTTTGTTTCCCATTCATGCTGCTCGAATTCTTATTTTGTTATCTTGCTAAATATCATTTTAAACAACTTTCTTAGACTGAGTGCATTCACTTAATTAATTACTGCTAGACTGTCATATTTTTTTATCAACAATTTTTTGTTGTGTGCTTTTCTGAGATTTATTTCCTTTTTTATATCCTATATTTCAAAATGACTAAGGAAATAGTCGTTTAATAATCCATGTCTGTAGATTACTAAACTGATTTCTTCAAATTTTAGAAGGAAATGCCATGATATTGATCAGTTCGTTCAAAATGTTAAACTATTACAAATTAATAAATTCTTCAGTTATAGGATTTAGGAGATCATACAACAATAGTGGCTGATCCGTCAAATCTAATCTCCGCTCAAATAATCATCGATAAATCACAAGTTAATCCTATTTTGTTTCGTGGTGCAGCGTTGATTGCTGATAAAGCAAATCAGCTTCGCTTGGAAATACTCTCCGCTTCAACTACTGCATATTCTTTCAATCCTAATGACAGAGTAGAAGAAGTATGTTTCCATGTTGGATTAAACACTCATCCATTGCTAACAGTGGTTGTAGATGTTTCATTACTTTTTATTTAAATATTTATTAAACATGAGTTTTTTGTAGAAGATGGTTAATGTTTGAACTTTATTATTTTCATTTGTTCTTTATAACAAAGTACTAATATCTCTCTATGTTAGATTTAACAATCAGTTTTAAAATTGGTGACGAAGAATCCAACAAAAAGAAAGAATTGATGAAAGAATCAGTACAAAAAATATGCTGTTATTGGATAATTTGCATTAGTTATACCTATTTCAGTATCCAGGTGCAATGGGGCGCTCTACATTGTTGGTCGGTGCTATTCAGGCAAGAAATAATGCACGTATTTTGTTAACTGGTTCCATTTTAATGTTCAGCGATGCTTTCATCAGTGCGACCGTTAGCAAATTTGGCTCAACTTCAAAGTATTGTTTATCAAATTTCATATTAATAGCCACATGAAAAATTTCATTCAGTATGCTTCTTGCAAGAATTTGGAGAAATTATTTTAAATAAAATGGTATCTTTATATGAGCATAATCAGATTCGTTGAAAGCATAAAAGCTATCTTTATTTAATAAATTTACTTGTCAATCTGATTTGAAGTAATTTTTCTATCTATCATCATTGTGTAAGATTTGCAGAAATATGTTTTTTTAGACCTCAAAAATCTGGAAATTTCCAACTGGTAACTGCATTGAGCGAATGGGTATTTATGGAGAAGGGTGTGCTAAAAGTAAAAAATGTTATGCATCATCGGGTATTCTTTGTTTCCTTATTTTGTCAGATTTGCTTTTCTTGTAAGTTATTATATTTGTTCCCGATTGAAATTGGTTGGCATGAAATGCGTCTTCTTGTAAAGGTATAGGTGGGTGGTATCGAACTTTTATTGAACTTAAATTTAGGTTGGTGAAAAAGAACCTCCACAAGAATATACTATAATGGATAATGTTGAGTACATAATCGAAATTGAAGAGTTCATTAACGGCAAGTGGGAACCCTTTAAGGGAAATGACGTTCAACTTGAATTTACTCGTATTGATCCATTTGTACGGACCACTCTTAAAAATTTCAGTATGTCATTTTTTTCGATTGGAAGTTTTTGCAGGTTTTGAAATAGTCTCGTTTGTTTTATTCTCAGAACATGTAGAAGCAAATCATATGTTCAGTGAGCCTAATCATTTCCCTGTGACTGAAGATTGAATTTGATTTTCTATGTTTTATATGCACATATTTCTGATGGTTCTCAAATCACATTTTTATATTCAGCTTGGAACTTCCAGAAACTGTTTCAAACTTTTTTAGGAGCTTGGAATTTACTCTCACTAAGCCTAGTTTTGTATGTCTAACATGAGATCTAGTTTATTGCAGTTGCTTTTCGTCATTAAGTGCATTTTAGATGGTAAATTGAAAACGCAGTTCAAACTTCCGGATGTTTACGGTGTGTATAAATTTATGGTCGATTATCGTCGCGTTGGATACACACATTTGCTCGATGTGCAACAAGTAAGACTTGTTTTTTGTAATATAATTCTGACTTCTATCTTACTTTCCAGTTTTGTCTTGTAAATACATATTCCTAAAGATAAAGGCGTTGAACGTAGGCTAAATATTGAAAAGGAATTAAAAGAATTACAATTAACCCTTGAAAATTTAAACACTTAATCAGACTCAACTATAAGAGTGGCCATGGAAGCATTTAATTAGGAATTAGTTACTGGAGGACAGCAAGTTCCGAGAAACAGAAAATGGGTTGTTAATTTCCTCGTTATCATGAAATTTATTTTACTTTTAGGTATCTGTACGACCTCTTCAACATACTCAATATGAACGTTTTATCCACAGCGCATATCCTTACTATGTGTCAGCTTTTTCAATGATGATAGGAGTAGTTTTATTCTCATGTGTCTTCCTATATCATAAAGAACCATCAAAAGAAAGCAAGAAAGATTAGCTTGTGCCTCTCAAACAGTTCTTCCTCGTTATTAATCTAAATTATTTTATGCATATAGTACTCATTAAAAACGTCAGTAATCAACAATTCCGCACCAGGATTTAGTTTTTGAGGTAATTTGTTGTGGTCTAGCCTGCTATTTCTAATTTTTCTTGTAGAACTATTTTTATTCTTCGTAATTAGTAATAACTGCAGTGCTTGTTAGCATTGTCAATTATATATATCCGGTTAATAATAAGACTTATGTAATGTCCGATGTCGTATATTTTTCATATCTGAGTCTTATCAGTTTTGCAAAACCATGGGGAGCGTTGTTATTGTTTGTTTGCTGTTAATAAATGCATTACTGTTACATGAGTGATACATACAAAGTGATTTATACACCTAACTGCCCATGGATACGACCACGAACATTCATTGAAACTCGAATCCATGTTAGTGAACAGCTAGCTGCAATCCAAGAAGATCGATGATGGCGTAACTGTTCACTAAGCTATTGAAGAGGGTAGATAGCAGTGACGTTTATTTGCAGTACAGAGAGTATGCGGGCTCCCATTTTTATGGTTCAAGTTAAATTATATGCTTGGGAAGCTGTTCAATTTCGAAAAATTTTATTCACAGGAAAAATTTGATAGAAATTCTAAACAATTCAATCATTCAATTAAGACGATGCAATTATAGCAGAGGTATAAGTTTCTCGTTATTCTGCTTCATAATTTGTGTCTTTTTTGATATATAGGTCATTATTCGTTAACAGATTATTTACCCGGACACTTATTGAAATGAACTAAGAAAAAAGGTTTCATAGCCTTTTATCACTGTTATAGTGAAGGAAATCAGAACACATGGGTGATTCTAAAAGTTCGACTTTGAGCAGAAACTTTAGAAAAAAGTTAGGAATGAGCTGGCGCAGAATACATGACAACATTTCGGGATTCCCTTATGCTACACACTAGATGAATCAATTAGATAGGCATGATGTGCTTATCTGCGCATTGCTGATGGTCATCCATGTGGTTCTCAATCGGAAACGATCGACGAAGCATTTTACGTAATCTGGCAATTTCTTCGTTCGCTTTATCCAGATCTCCAGCTAATACTGATTGTCTAGAAATAAAGCATTTTTTTATCAATTATGTTTATTACATGATCTGAATTTGCAGCAACATGATGAAATATACCGCTGTTTCAACTTTTTGATATCTGTTTTGCAAGTAACATTTTGACGCAACAAATCCGTTCGTTCACTTCGTAATTTTTCTACGTCGTTCAAAAGTTCATTAAGACGTTTCATCTCTTCTTCACGTAATGGCACTTGACGATCGATACAGAAACTACACGGTACTCGAATGGAATGTACTACTTCAGCTGATGACAGTGATTCCTGAAAGGATTTTACTCATTTTTATTACAATAAACTTATTTTGCTGCAAATATACCAAAGAAAAATGATTCTCACATGTTATAAATTCAAATAAATAACTGTAGTAGGTACATCTCAATCTTTGTAAATCATTAGGCTCACTGCACGTGATTTCCTTGGTTTTTTTGATGCATGTATTCTGCTTTGTATTGGAATAATTTTGAGTAATGAAAAAAAAAAAAAGACTAACCAGGCCGGTGTCAGAATCATGACCCATTTCGGTACTCTCATTCTCACCACTTGACAAATCCCACTCTCCGTAATTATGTTTGCTTAAAATACTTTTAAAGTGATAATTTACTAGTAGTAGCAAACTTCTCATGAGAATTTTAATTTAATGGGCAACATGTTTAGAAAGTGTGTATAGGACATATAATTTTTTCCCATACCATAGGTCAGTCGTTTTCAAGATTGGATTTTGAGATGGTAATAGTAGTCCAGCAGGATTCTCACCACGGATACTGTATACATCATCAGGCTCTTGATGTTGATTTTCAATTGTTGGTCTATAATGAATGGTCAAGATTGAAAAATTAACAACAGTTTTTGTATTTTTTTAGTATTTCTAGCGTCATCATCTATGAAATAATTCATTTGCAAGAATAGTGAAGGAAAATCATTTAAAGTCAGAAACGAACTGGTAAATACTAAGAGGATAACGATTCTTCGCTAGTTTAATAGAGTGAAGAGCAATGGGTTTATTGAATAATAATTAACGGTTGTTTCGCTAGTATTTGTGGTTATGCTAACTGGCAAGAAGTTGAGTTTAATAATCTGTAAAATTCAGTTCAGCTAATAAGTTTACTCCTTGACATAATTGAAGCTGACTAAAAAGATTTACTTTTTGAATTCATTAGACGAGTTATATTGCTGAATGCTGCTTCCTGCTCCACTAGTTGATGCTGTAGAACTTGAAATAGTATCAATAGCATTGTACGATTTACGATTCGTATTTTTGGGGCTACTTATGCTTGTTATAATTGTGGACTGTGTTGCACAAGACGTGGTTGGAACATCTTGCGATACTGAACGTGATCTGTAATAATAGTTAGAATGAAGTCTGTAATAAAATGTAAAAACTGGTCTTCTTTTTTTGCTTATTTAAAATTTGGTGACTAATACAGAAACAAATGCATTATTTATTAATAGCATAGAAGTTAACAAAATAGGTTTTGATGACAATAAAAAGCCTTTAATTTCCTGAAAAAATTGATATAAAAGTTACCTTCCCGTTAGGACTTTTTTAACAGAATGGAAAATGCCAATGGGATGTGATGTAGTATCTGTTGTTTCTAGCAATGGTAGACCATAGAATTGCGCGCGTTCTTTTAAATTACCGTAAAGAGCATCCAAAAGAGATGATCGTGTTCGTTCCTAGAAATTTTCGTAGTAGATCATATCATCAAAATAGCGCTGAAATAACAACACTGCCTTTTTAAAAAAAAAATTCTTGAAGGTTTTGCAAAATTATTCTATTAAGTAAGTGATTTAAGCAATTTTAGTGCAATTCATAAAATCATTATAGGTAAACTATACCCATTAGGGGAAAATTACTTCCGTGCAATTAAAAATTACTGGAAAACAAAGATGAGTACAAGAAAAGACATTTTCAAACAGAAATGTTGAATTTAACGGAATAACATACAGCAAGTTTGGCAAACTTAGTCGACTTATAAGCAGCATTTTCAGCGTTGATTAATTTGGTGAGCAAAAAGTTTCGAAATTCTTGACCTTTCCGGAAAATAGAAGGTGCAGGAAGAGTAGGACCAAAAAACGGGACATCATCTCGTGCTGTTACAGACACCTGAAAAAATCTTAAGAAGGTTATTTAATAACAAGCATGGGATGACTAGAGATCTTTATCAGTTTCTTCTGAGTTACTTCGTAATTCCTATTTTTTGATGGTATAAATCTGAAATATGATACTTACCCGGTAGCGTACTTTGTCTGTACATGGATGAATTGGTTGAACAACAATGAAAGCGTGCAAAAAATTGCTTGCAATCATATCAGCCGAGAATGGAGTGTTTGCTTCCTAAAAATAGCTCCAAAAGTATTATTACACATCTGTCATAGAAAAAAATAGCCAATAAAAATTACGCATAAATATGCAAATCTTTAGTTTATTGTAGCATCAACTACACATTCATTAATCACCGTTACGGAAAACATAGTATAACCTGAAAAACAATGGCAACTATATCATTGCCGATATGTCGTTTGCGTTGTAACTGTTGCGTGTCACCAGCAGTATAGGGCAGCATAGTTGATACGTGAAACATAATTTCCCGTTGTCGGAATTGACAATAAATCGATTCTGCACCAGTCTGACCATGTTGTGTATCCAAACCACCACGATAACCCTTCAAAAATTTTTATGCCAGCAACTGCTAACATAAGTTTGATATAATTTTCAAGTCCTATAATTATTGTTTGAAAGAAAAAAGACGCAACTTCATTCATTCAAGCAGTAGTTTTTTGGAAGACAAAGAAGTAAAAAACGAATTAGAAATTAATAAATAATAACTTCAAAATCCCTGAGCTTAACTCGTTCACCAATAATATTCAGAAATTCATCGAATGCATCTGAATGAGTTGCATTTCCAAAAAGTTCTTCTTCCGTCGTCTGCAAATATATTTTTTTTATGTATTTACATTGACTACTTCTGCAAAAATAGGTATGCAACCAAATGAAAGTAATTGTATTAAATATCGTGAGAATGTTAATTGATTTCAATTTAAAAAAATAAAGTTCATATTCTGGGAAATTTCATCTCACACTTTACCTGTCCAAATCGTTGGTAAATTACACCGAATTTGTATGTATTTGTTAAAACGTGTTCGTCATATTTCAGAATCATTTCTGTTCCACCCGGGAAAGCAACCGGGCTAAATCTATCTGTTGTAACTTCATCACATAATAAACGTGCCATTCGACTTGCAGTTGGTCGGTCAGCTAGTGCTAACAAATTAACTGTAGTATGCATATTTAAATGCAACTTGTGTGTTAAAAATTGATTTTTTTCGCAAGCATATATTGTTAGAATTTGATAATGCAATCATTTTTAAAGTAATTTTCGAATTAAAGGAAAAAAATTAATGTGGAAGTAAAGATTACCCGAGGCAGGAACAATTTCATGTACTGTTCCATGCCTTGTTCGTAGCATAATTCGAAAATGATCTTGTGAGGATATCAGTTCTGTTCGTACTGATAACACTAATGGCCCCAAGTTATTGTCTACTGCGTAAAAATCATGATGTTCCTGTAAATTTTTGCTTACCATCGACTTTATTTTGCAGTTTTAATTGCTTAACATTTTCAAGTTTTGATATTTCTTCATATTAAACTGTTGAAATATATTCAAAATAAAATTATTCTAAATAGTAAAGTTCAAGAAATCAGTATATAGTGCTTAAATATCGAAATATCGTAAAACAAAATTAGTCAAATCAAGGTTTAGCATTATTTGACAAAGGTATGCCAATTTCTTGTCGTCATTTAAAAAGAAGAACCATATTAGTGATTTGGTGATGTGCAATGAATTGAATGTGAAAAAAAAATTAAATACCCTGCCAACAAAATGTCGCCTGTAACAATGTGAAGTATCATCAGTTTCAAGCTTAGACCTAGCACAACTACTAGTAGCCGGGCAGCATCCAACCACTTCATCATCAATACTGATTGTACAGCTACTCACACCATCCATCCAGTAGCCACCACCAGCAGGTGGAACGATCTGTGGGTAAGGACCTGAGTGTTCCAACACCTAAATTCCCTTTTTCATTTTTAGTTATTCAAATTCAAGCAAACAACAATACATCAAATTCAATTCAAAAAGCTGAGTTCAAAAATTTTAACGTAGTGCTAGAAATATTCAACAGTTTAATATAAAGATTATGCAGTGCTGAAGTAGTAAAATAAATACATCGTTTGAAAGCAATGAGTTTGCATCTAACTATATGAAAGCTAGAATGATATAATACTGCAGTTGTATAAAATATAATAGTTTAACTATTCTATCATAATGCATAATTTTATTTGCAACAGTCAAAGATAGATTCTGCAAAAACCATGCAAAAAAAAAGAATGAAATTTTGAACCTCTTTGATAGTATCTCTAGTTCTGTTTGTTTTTCGTGTTCCATTGCGCTGCGAAATTTTACTGTTCTAAAAGAATTTAAAGCTATATTCTAAATGAAATTTTCAAAAGTTTGATGTTGATTTTGATAAAACTGTTGCTAATGAGAATAATTCATCTGCAATATTTCTAAATTCTGTTTGTACAGTGCCAGTAAATTAATTAATGCAAAATGGTTCTCATAATTAAGAAAATAAATATGAAACTCCATATACCACTTTTTGTCTTGCATAAATTTCCTTCATCTACTACCTTTATCATAAATGATTCATTATATTCAAATTTGAAAAGAGATCTCTTGCATTTATTTGATAACGTACTGTTTTAACCGACTGTATATTATTTTTACCGAAAACTATGCAAAAAAAAAGTAATTTAAAAAATGATCGAAAAATTTTTGAAGATTTAAAAAAATTGTGAATTGCTGAAATATTGATGCGAGAAGGAATATTCTATTTTCATGCCTCTTAAGCAATACAAATCAACTTTGAAATTTCAAAAGGAACTCCATAGTAGAGATTTTTGATGGTGATTTAAAACCTTAAAGTTTTCACTGCAAATTTGTTCCTTCCATAATTACTCTGACGTCAGTTTTAATTGATGCAAAAAAGAAAATCGTAGCAAAAATAAGTAACATAAATAGGGTCAAAATATTAGTGCAAAACTCTCACATCGTTTTGATTGATTTGAGAAGCTAGTACTTCAGGTAAACTATGTAAATATTGTGGTGATTTTGTACTGCTTATTAGCACTGGATTGCTGATTATAGATGGTAGCAATTTACGATGGAAGACTAAATTGAATAAGTTTCGAGTTCGACTTATTCTTGAAATAGAAGAACTCAAACGTTGTGCTTCTTTCATATTTCGATCAGCTGTTAATAATTTTTCCGCTGCAGATGCTATGAATCTCGCTTGATCAAATTGAAGCTCTTCATTGTGAAAAAGATTGTATTCTGCATCATCGCCACTATTATTATTATCAGCATAGCTCAAATTTTGAGAATACCATGACATATCTAAGTCACTTGCATACTTTTCATCCACATAAGCAGAATCTTCATTGTTACCACCTGAATCAATACACCAAAGCTGTCTTTCGTTTCCTTTCATCGAAGGTTGACATCCAATATTATAAGTTTTTTTCTGACAGACTGGAAGTATAGTTTCTTTGCGAGAATGATCAAAAATGCATTCTAATGAATGGTCCGCTTGCATATGATGGAAATTACTAGGCACAAAAGTAGCAGAATGAAGTAAGGAAGTAGATGATGGCTGTGATGTAAATGAAGTTGACGGTAACTGTTCGCGAAAGGAATAAATAGAATTAGTCTTCACGTGCCCAAGTAATGCTAATTGCTCAACTGACGTTCCATGCAGTGATTTGCAGTCTGTATTGTTATCAATGAAGCGTCCGTTCGGTGTTAAATTTAAATGATTTTGACTACTGCAGTTGGCATTGTTATCATTCATGTCACTAATGGCAAGTTTATTGGTCTCGTTTACGTTTTCACTGCTGGCATAATGTAATTCGTTGTTGTTAATGGCGGTATGCGAATTTCCCTGGGCTAACCTTAACTCAGATTTTAGCAAGAAATTTTTTCGTCCAAAATTACTACTATTATTATTGTTACTTGCAACAGGAATTGCGGACTGTTGAGCCATCTCTTGCAGTAAAACTTCCGAAACCCATTTATATTGATCTTCACGACAAAGCATCATTTCGTTGATGATTTATATAAGCAATTAAACGCTGCATCAGACGTCACTTCAAAAAATTCTTGCAAGTCTACGATTTCGATTACTTGATAACGCTAATCTCAAGAAATAATAAAAACTTCAATATAAGTACAAGTCTGTAAGGCAAATAACCAATCTTTTTTGCTCTACAGGATATAATAATTTTAGCATAAATTCAACATA